GTCACGACGAACCCTTTAAACAACACCCGAACAGTGCTGCTAGCCTGAAGCGGTTTGGGGTTAAGTGTTGTCGAAGCAGATTGTAAACATGTGGCAGAGCTTGGAGATGCGCCTCAGAGTCTAGAGTGCGCACTTCCGCAGGCGGGGTCTTGTGGAGCTATGAGCAGATGAGCAGCAAGTTCACGCAGCAGACCTTGCGACTTGTCTGCACAGACCCCTTGTCTCAGAAACTCTTCCAGCTGCTTAATTAAGAAACACGAGGGCTTGTTTCAGACTTGATTCAAAGACCCATAGTCAGTCATAGCCCAAAACCTCAAAACAAAGCTGTCCTCAAGGGCTACGGCTGCACTCTGATCTTCGAGATATATAGGGTGTTTTCTCGTTCTTGCCATGCGGCTTTGTGTTTTGGGTCGGCCACGCAGGGCTTGCGGTTCCGTAGATATCAGGGCCGGAGCAGTTGCCAATGGTAATTATTCCTGAGGATTTCTCTGAGCTGTATAAACTTTATAAACAATTAGCATACTAATACTATATATATATACATAAAGTATGCATGTGTAGTATAGTACGTTTATTTCCTCACGATGTATCTATCTATCTGTCTATCTATCTAAGAGTCTTCCAGAACCCTCAGGAATCATTACAAAGCACCCTTGTGCATAGCACCCAACCCCCACAATATCCTAGAACAGCCGTGCTGATACGATTCATCTAGACCCTAAAAGCCCGTAAGCCCTAAACCCTAAAACAGTGCTAATGCTTTTGGCCCTGATATGAATATTAGCGGGCCCTTCGATCGATCCAGGGATCCCTCACAGGAAGCTCGAAACTGAAAACCGTTTCAGGGTTTCTTTATGGATTCTACATCTGTTCTCGACGAGTTACTGTGCTGTACAAGGTTCTCTACCACGCACTGTACAAGGCACGTAGGATTTTTGGTGTTTGGGGTGCAGGCTTTGAGTCTTGGTTTTGTTGTGTGATGTGCGTCAAATAAAGCTATCCAAACTCGTATTACGAGGTCAGCAGTAATTCCTAAAAGAACAGACGCTAATATGTAATTTTAAGACGTTTGTCCGAGTGTGAGTGTCGAAAAATATGAGCCAGTAGCCCACCAACTGGGTAAAAAAATGGGCTGTCGGCTGGCATGAGCGGGTTGGCTTCAACCCTATACTCCGACCATCTCTCCCTTGCCTTCTGTAACTGAAAAAGAGGCCCTATCTCCACATAAGCCTTAAACACCCCTAAACCCTAAACCGTAATAAACCTTAAACATCGGGAAGGCCCCAAACCCCAAGAAGCCGAAACGCTGAATCCTACGAACCGCAACAACCTCCGGCTTTGACCCAAGCTTCCCGGGTTCTTCAAACAAGTAAGCTTCACAACCCTCGGGCCCACAACAGCTTCGGATAGTCTTGAAACCCAGATGGGCCTGCAGGGGTGGAAGAGGGCTTGGGGCCATAGTTTTTTTTATAACTTCTCAGGAGCCCCAAGTAGTACTCGAAACTTCTTAGGCCCCTATATATATATATATATATGTATACATATGTGTATGTGTATATATATATATACATATCATACCGTACTTAAGCACGAAAGCATGAGACACCCGAAGCCCGAAAGACTTCAAGGACTCTTCGGACTCTAAAGCTGAAGCTAAGGACGAGGATCAGGGGACCCAAAATAAGGTATAAGTAAGCTAGCTGCGTTCTTAGGTGAAGTTTCCAATTTAGATTTCAGGTAGTTGTGACACTACGTACCAAGCGCCCGGAACCACTGAGAGCCCTTTGACTCGAAGCATTATACCACCCCCGCACCTGACAGCCCCCCATGAGCCCCAAACACCATCGAAGCCCTGCAAACCTAAACTCTACACACCCATAACAAGCCCGCAGCCATAAAAGCCCTGCAAGGGGTAGAAAACCCCAAAGCCCAAACCCTAAACCCTACGCGGGCTTGTAGGAGGCAAAAGCCCTAAACCCTAACCCAGGATCATGGCCTTCATGGCATCCATCATCGCCAAGCTCGCCCTTCAGGATCTTGAGTCCGGAACAGGTGCTCTGGGGCTAAGGATTTTAGGGCAAGGGTTGGGGGGTTCGAAGATTTGTGGTTTCAGGCTCTACGGTTTAGGGTTTAGGGGTCTGGGGATTAGGGATTTCTGGGTTGAGGGTTTAGGGTACGTACCGATATCATTGCGTGGGAGCAGGGTCTTGTTGTTCCTCCTGCAGCTTTAGGGTTACGGTATAAGGTCGCACTCCCACACCCTAAACCACCCTGAACCCTGAAACTAAACCCGTGTTCACCCTAGACCCCAAACCATCTTGCATTAGCGAAGCTTCCGCTCCTACACCCATTAGGGTTTGGGGTTGGGGGTCTAGGCACGCCACACTCTGAATTGCACCAGGCTCGCAGCAAGCGTTTCGAGCGATGAAGTTAGAAGGGTCCGCCGCCCGACATTTGCCACTTGGAGCTCTGAATCGGCTGTCTGTGGTTTTAGGTGAGGGTTTCAGTTTTGCGGTTTTGCTGTTATCAACAGGGCTGTATATACAACGCATTTTTTTTTACAAGCGGGTTTTGGGTTTCGGGGTTTCAGGGGGCTTTAGGGTTTCAGGGTTATGTATTGGGTCAGGGTTGTTTCGCAACTTACTCAAAACCCCGTCTTGTCTGACAGGGTTCTTGCTAATGTAGGAACCTGATTAAGAAACCCTGGCCCAATAACCTCAAAACATTAGCATTCATATGGGAGCTTCCGAAAATTAGGGGTACCTTATTTTGGGGTCCTTGTAATAAGGTCCTACTATTTAGGGTACTATATTAGGGTCCCCTATTTTCGGAAACCCCCCATATAGAGAACCCTAATAAAGATCCAAGGTTTCTTAATCAGATTCCTACATTACCTGTAGTCTCCATTGTAGTTCCTTTTTGGGGATACCTTTAAAAGAATCCTTAATATATAAATGGTTAAACCAAAAAAAGGAGCTACAATGGAGACCATAGGTACCTCTGCGTTTTTCCATAATTCAGGGTCCAAGGTTCCAGGGTCAGGTGCAGCTCTATCCGGTCCAGAAGCTACTGGCACCTTTTCGTGGCAGGGCCCCTGCAGATTCCAATGTGGCAAGGTCAATGAACAAGTATAGAGTTCGGCCAGGGGAATTACATGTTAAGTGTGTGAGTAATGAGTAAGACCGTGTCAGCAGTGGATCAACGAAGCTAGTCTAAGGGTGAATTTACCTTAGACAGACAAAGCCAGATCCTCAGGACTTACAGTATAAGAGTAGGAACCAAGATAAGTGACCGGAGCAGGATTACCTCTCGCCTCCTTCGATGCTCTGAGCTTTCTGAAAGATGAGGGCATGAAAGCTGGTGACGATTACACTGGGTACCGGATACCTCATGGAATCTTTAAACCTCCGGCTATTCTCGTATCAGATTAAATGATGGTTATGTAGCGGAAGAGATTAACGTATGTGCGAGTTGCCAGGTCGGACCCTTCTCATTAGCTCTTGATTAGTTTCCCCCAAGACATTAGCGCAGCATGGATGAGGACGCGATGTGGTATTTCAAGAGTCCGAAGCAGTTCCAAAATTTTACAACCGACCATCACGCAGACCCCAACTCTCCCTTAAGGTTCGTTTAAGCTTTATCCAACTCCCAGTGGGGAAGTGCAGTATATAACCTTTAGTTTTTTCTGGTTATCATTCCTTTTTGGAATCCGAATCAGCTTAGCCTTCAGTTTCCTAGGAAAGCTGGACAAGGAAGATGCTCTTGTTGTTCTAATTAGTGAGGACCCCGATGCTGAACCCTTGCAAGAAGGCCCCTTCGCAGCCACTAATGGAGCCTTTTTTTGTGGGGCCCCAAAGCCTCGTTTGGCGGGCCCTGTCTGGGATTTTGCTGCATTGAACAGAAAGTTTATAGGGTTTAGGGTTTACCTATAATAATCTCCATGGTGGTTCCTTTTGGGGGATACCTTATAAAATCCTTAATATATAATTGGTTAAACCAAAAAAAGGAACTACAATGGAGACTATAGGTAGGGTCTAGGTTGGGAAGCTAGTAACAGAGATTCCTGAGGCTCGATGGGCAGACATGCTTGGCTGGTAGTACGGGGAAGTTGGCAACAGAGACCTTGCTTCATGTATCTCTATGGTATACACTTTCGCCTCCAAGGGCTTGCCGTATTGTATCTCGAGAGAATACTTCATATTACCCATTGTAGGTACCCTTATGCGCGAACTTCCCACCTGAACTGCCAGTGGAGTCAGCAGACTCCGCCTTGAGACTGCCCGAAAGACTGAAGACGCCAACTTCCAGAATGGCATCAAACAGGAGTTGGGGGGGGGGGGTAAGGTTAGGGGCTTGAATAGTTACCAATCTTATTCCTGCGGGTTACTTGGTGTGTATAGTTATTCACTATAATATACGCCCTAAAACCCGAATCTAATCGTTTAGGCCCTTATAATACTGAGTTGGGGCAGTCAGGGCTGTTGACTTCCAGGCCCGGGGCGCTGCACTTTGTCTTTTTCGCACTGCTTGGCGCACCCCGGCACGCGTTTTTTGAGGTTTGCCATTCAAGTGTTTAGAGTTAATTGATTCCTGGGTGTATCCCGAATGTTGAATCCTGTACCTAAACTGTAGCTGCACCCTAGGCGTGCAGAGTAAATGTTGGCAGTGGCACCGGATCGCCGCATGAGTCTTTCACGGCGGCGCTACCAAACAAATCTTGCGAAGCAAGCGACATGGCCTAGTTCTCTGAACACAACCCTAGCAAATCGGGAATGCGATCTAACGACAACCCCAGCATCCAGAGGTCCTGGGGGGTCTTTTGGGCGCCGGCTTCGTCTATGGCAACCTGCAGGCCATCCGAGCCACGTTTTTGTTCTATTTTCTATTCTCTGGAGGGTGGTCTAGCTGGGTTTCGGGTTTACATCGTCTGGGGTAGGTGTCGATATCCACCCTGGGGCGCATGCCTCGGCCACGCATTGGAGGGCTTGTGGGTTTTGGGTTGAACGGTTTTGAGCACGCCGGACGACGGCTCTTGGTCCGGGCCTTACATTGCTCCTGTTGAAGCCCGCAACTGGGGGTTTCTATCACTGCTCTTACCTACAAGATCCCTGAGCGATGTATCTTAAGATGAGTGTGGTGCGCTTCATGGGGCTAATTGAGGCCAAGGTTCGCGGACCTTGCCTGGCTTTGTCCGAGTGTGAGTGTCAACAAGTACTGAGACCAACGGGCCTACAAGCCCAACATAAGCATCCTCAGCGGTCAATCTTGCTGGCTTCCTTTTCCGTCGCCTGGAGGTTAGCCGACAACGGGCACGGTGGGGTTGGACCACGGGCTACCTGGCAAGCCTACTTGAGATGGGACTACCAAGGTTCAGAGTGACAAGCTGAAGCTTGAAGTCAAGTGGGTAGTTCTGTAAATTAGGGTCCCGTTTAGGGTCCTTTTTACAAGAGTGCTGCACTGTTTTCGGGGCCCAAAATGAGAGAGCTAATCAAGTACACGGCCAGCATAGGGCCAATATACGTTGTTTGGCCACGCATTGTCGCACCTCGTCATGCAAACATCCTCCGAGGCCCTAGCTAAGCTAGGCAGGGTGATAACATGATTAATATAGGGGCCAGGCTGATTACCAATACTATTTTGGTGGTTCTTTCTTGTAAATTACAGTAGAAAAAACCCAAAGCCCGATTTGAAGTATTAATGCCCCTATCCCCTAAACCCTAAACCCTAAACCTTGTTCGAGTTCTTAAGGCCCTTTTAGTACTCACTCCAAACAGGTCCCGGCCCCAAAGTTCCTTGGTCGAACCTATATTGACCTGCTCTGATGGTTGGAATATATGGGAGTTTCAGAAAATTGGGGGTACCTTATTTTGGGGTCCTTATAATAGGGATCCTACTATTTAGGGTGCTATATTAGGGTCCCCTAATTTCGGAAACCCCCATATTGACCTGCTCTGATGGTTGGAATATATAAAGCCACGAGGGTTCAAGCTCACCTACTAGGCTACTATGTACGTGGCAGGGCGTGAACCCTCCATGTAGCACACCGATTTCTCAAAGACTCCAATACCCCTTAATAAAGGAATATACCTTAAATCTTATTAGGGTTCCTTCCCATTAGAATTTAAGGTCTATTCCTTAATCAAAGGGTTTTGGAGCCTTAATTAATGAATATACCTTAAATCCTGTTAGGGTTCCCATTATAAGTTAAGGTATATATTCCTTAATTAAGGGGTTTTGGAGTCTCTGGGTTCTTGCAGGATGGAAAGCTGCTGCTTTGGTAGCCGCTGTCGCGGCCGTGAATTTCGTCGCAACAGGGCCTGACAGTTATCAGCTTGGAGCTTGCTATACGAGAATCATATAGAGGCCTAAATAAATACCTATATTATTTTGGGAGTTCCTTATTGTATTTATAGCATCATATAACTCAAAACCTTGTTCTAATTATTAAGGCCGAGGCCCCCACATGATGTCCCGAAACCCTCTTCAACATATTAAGGCCCCTGCTTGTAGAGCTTTTGGAGTTTGAGAGTTGGTTCTTTCAAATTTTTTAACCCTGAACTCTAAACCCAAAACCCTGAACCCTAAACTCCTGGCCAATCGCTGGAGAGCAGCGTAGCGAGTCGAATGACCGCTCCTTGATGGTCCTGACATGCCGACTCCTTTTGGTTCTGCAGCTGTCGCTGGCTGAGCCAAGTGAGTTTCAGTATCTGAGCCCTTCAAGTAGTGGCAAGCCTTGAAAACGATGGGTCCAAGTCATTGAAGTCCGACTGCTACCCGACACATAACTGTTTAAAAGCATGTCTATGTGGTTTTTGATCTCTTGCTGTATCTGTTGAGTGGTGGTCGAGTCTTCTAATTTGAGTCTGGCATGCTGGTCAAAGGCTAAATATTGGGCAAACGAAGCTGCCCTCTAACTCAGTTGTTGTGCATCTGCCACAGTAATCCGAACAACCCTGCAATGCGGGCTCGTCCTTGCTAAGTGGGAGGGAACAAAAAGCCCTAGGAGTTGTGGAGTTAGCGAGGTGCGGGATTTCGGCTGTGTGCGGCTTCTTCTTGGTTCAGGTTTTCTGCAAAGCATGCCCTTTCGGGTTTCTTCCTCCTTAGAATCTTAGGGGATGAGTAGGTGACCTTTAACCTTTCGGGGCTTTTACAACCCTACTATAATTGAAAGGTTAACTTTTTGGGGATATAAGGTCTTCAGCCCCGAAGTATTAATCCACTGTTAACTCCCCACAGCCGGACTCGTTGTTTTCAGACCCATACCCCGAACCCTAGATAATTTCTTTGAACTACCGAGGTTCCTTTAAACTCTACGTTGGGCTTTCAAAGAAGAGCCTAATTACACAAACGTAAGTAGTTAAGGAACCCTGCCCCTAAACCCCCAAAGTCCCATCGCAGCGCGAGCTCAGAGGTAGCACGAAGATCGCATCTCCTTGAGATCAATGAAGGACTCGCTCTCCAGGCTCTGGAGTTTAGAGTTATATATATATATATATATGCACACTATTCCTGAGGGATTCTTAACATGCGTACAGATTCTGTTTTCGAAGTATTCTGGCCCCTACAATGATCCGGGACAGGTTCGCAGGTCACGGTGCAGCGCTCAGGGTTATGGGCTTAGTCTGTTTATTGGCAGTATGTAGCATTCCTACTATTGCCATTGCGGCAACAACAACTACAAGTACTACTACTACTACTACTACTGCTGCTACTACTACTACTACTATTGATACTACTACTA